AGGACTTTAGCTTGATGAATCATTTAAATTTTATGTTATGGGATAGGAAATTCCATTGGGTCGATGTAAATACTTGGATGGATCTCTCACTGTTGACTTCCCACTGTTACCCTTTTTAGTTCAGAGGGATGGTTTTCTTTTGGTTTTACCGGTTTAATCTCTTTCATTTCTTAACGGGTTTCTTCCTTCTCTTCCGTTTCTTAAACTTGACTCCTTTAGACGTAAACTTGTTGGTCCTTATTGACTGATTTCAGATTAAACTGGTTTTTTAATTCCAGAGAACGCCAACTAACATTAACTGAATCCTCGAATAAAATTGACGACACCAGTGATGAGGCTGCATTATGGGAACGTGTAGCAAAGATGATTGAAGGGCATAATCCTGCTTTGGGTGGTATGAGTGGAAGTAATACTTTGCCAAGCAAATTGGCCAAATCTGGTGGAGGGCATCAAAACTTGACTTTACCAAAAGACACATCTCGAATGAAGCAATTAATTTTGATGTATGCGAGGGGAAGTGAACAGAATGAGAAGAGTCCGTCTCCGGAAATGACTTGAAACAATTTGCAAATTTTTTAAAAATTTTTTGTTATTTGCGATCAGAATCTATGGGATTAAAAGGTTGTTTTAAATATTTTCTATATTAATATACAAAAAATATAATTAGAGTGTGGTCCTTTATTCATTTTTGTGTTTTTCACAAAAGAATCAGAATTTTATTCTTGGGGAATAAGTCACGGAAACTCTGAATTTTTTGTAAATAGCTACTTTCCGGGTAAACTTGAATTCTATTAGGTTTCGGAAGGGTAATATAACTATCAATTGGTTTCTGAATTAAATATGGGTAGATTCAATGTATATATTTTTCGAGTAGTTTTATTCCCCGAAAGGTTATACATTATTCATAGGAGAATTAATTTACTATGTAACAAGGAGGGACTGATTGCTCGATCAACGAAACCCTGAATCTTTTTCGTTCCGAACCCCGGCCCAACTTTTCTCCTTTTATCCTACAAAATGGCCCGACACGAAATTCGGACTTTTTTCTAACCCGAACCGTAGAAATTTTTAAAACTTGACTCGAAACCCAACCCGACTTTTCCCATCCGTATTTAAGTTTTTCCGGAATAGCTCCTATTTTGCTTTATTCCAATAAATAATTCTGATTCTATTAATATGACCGCTCTAATTATTCTAATTTTTTCTATACTAAATGATTTCTATACTGATGTATTTTTCATCATATACTTATTTTTCTCAGCCGTGGAGCTCGTTTTAGTATATTTATATATTTTTTCTCGTGCGTTAATAAAATTTGACAAAAAAATTTTTTTGTTTATTTTGGTTGTTATTGGTATTTTTTACCAAATTTTATTTTTAAAATGATTAATTTTGACAAAAAAAATAATTTGTTTGTGTGGTTTCAATAAAATAATCTTCTCACAGTAATTAACTTTATCTTTTCATTATCCACTTATTGTTAGTAGAAACAATTAAGATTGGGAAGCCCTGTCATTTTTTATTTTTTTCTAATACAGTCAGACCTCTCGTTATATAATACGGGTACACCCCCATGCCCATTTTACAAGCTTTAACTTCGTTCAATAATTATCGAATCCGGGACGGTCTGGTATGGTTCGATGCTCCTCGACAAGGCGAATCGAACCATATCAGCTTGTCCCGGCTTCGATAATTTTAAACAAATTCGAGATACTTGGGCCTGCTCCCTCCCTAACTACTTTTTAGCATTATAGGAACAATTAAAATTAAGAAACCCTTTCATTTTATGACAAAAAAATGAAGGGTTTCTCTCCAATAAACAATTTTCTTTTGTCTTTTTTTCAATTTAATTTTCTTTATTTTTATATTTTTTTAGCTTTTCATTTGGCACTAAAAGTAATATATATTTTTGTTGGCATTTTATTAGATTGCTTGGTGTTGTAAAAAAATGAGAGATGGCGCCATTTAATTCATTTCCGACAGACGTCCACTTTATTTGGTTCAAAAAACAAGCAAATTTAAATAATTTTCAAATTTTCTTTTAATTATTGAACAGTGAATTTACAATAATTTCAAGGTTTGTAATAAATTTTTGGGGGGGTTTTTGGACCTGACAATAGGACAGATTTTTAAAAAATTCCAAGGATCCATTTTAAGTTTTTGATTTTCTTTAGTCATTTCTTATTATTCTTTTCTTCAGTTTCTTGTTTTTTCTTTTTTCTTTCCGTTCTTTGTTTTTTATTCTTTTCGTTTCTCACAATCAGTTCCAGTTTTCAGTCACTGGAGATAAACACCTCTCATTTTCATATTTTGATTATTCACTTTATATGTTTGTTTTCAATTTAGTGGGTTTTCCTTGGAGGTTTGGTTTTTTTATAAACCCTCTTTTGGGGGAACCCTTTTGGAGAACCATCTTTGGTATTTGGTTTTTCGGTGTTAGATATTACGGTTCGCTCCCTTCAGAAAAGTCCCTGGGGTTCTTTACATTTACCAATTTCACTCTAATTTGCAAAAAATCATTTCTTTGTCTAAAAAAATTCTTTGCTCTATCCATTAATTAATAAAATCACCAAAAAAAAGTATTCATTTAAAATCAATTTCCGGACTAACCACTTAATTTAGAAAAAAAATTTGGCTCGTTTAAACACGAGCTTTTTTCCTTGGTTTACCTATTTCCGTAAGGGGGATATTAAAAGGGAAAATTATCCTGCCTTTTTATTTTAATTGTCAAAATGAGAAAGAATTGTTTTATCCACACACTAATCCCCTTTTCAATAACAATAAGTTAAAACATTGCGCAAAGTATTTATATGCAAAGGAATCCATATTAATGTGAGGGAGATTAGTGGCATTTAAAATTTAATTTGTTATATATATATATATTTATTTTATTTTCGTCATTTAGCAACACACACATTCTTTTCTATTTTCTTTCATTTATTCTATTATGATGAATCTCTCCTAGGCCCACGCAAATTATTTTAAAAAATCGAAAAAATGTTTCGGAAATTTTAAAAGCTTTAGGCCGTGATTTTGGTATAGTTTGAAGATTTTCAACCAAAATCTTGGTTGAGGGCCCTTGATTGATTTTTTTGATTGACCAGATTCTCGACCAATTTAGAAAAACCAATTCATGACCAGATTCATGACCGGTAAAAATCAAGTAATACTGAAAAATTGCCTTGATCTAGACTCTGGATCCAAAGATCGCTTTCTAGATCCAGGCCAATCTCTAGTTTTTATGTTAGGTGGTTTTGTAGGTGATTTTTGATTGACCAGATTCTGACAGATTCTTGGTTTTCCAATTTCTTTTAATCGTTTCATGTAAGGAATAGGATTTGTAGGGGACAGAATTACTCAAAACCTGACCGAGAAATTTTCTTTTTCAAACACCAACTCGAAACCCAACCCGCTCTTCTCTCAACCCCTCATCCCTGGTAGGGATTTCATTTAGAAACGAGATTATAAACAAACCCTCTAAAAAATTTTCTTTCTTAATTAATTTAAAAATCTTTTTTTCTTTCTTCTTTTTTAACTTCTGACCTCCTTTCTTCTCAAAAGATTACTTTCCTTTTTAAGAAGCTATAAGCATTACCCCCACTAATTAAGCATCTGTCAAAGAGAGGTTTCTTTCCCCTATTTATTTTAACCTTTTCCTCTCCCCTCATCGTTTTCCTAAAAGTTTTCCAATTTCTTATAATCGTTTTTTTTTGTTTCCCTGGAGAATTTATAGCACAATTTTCTTTATTAGAAATTGCAAAAATGGAAGCAAAAAGCATCGACGACATTTTATTTTAATTTTTAAATGTTTTCGTGTTCATTTTTGAATTCCTCTCATTTCCATGTTTTTCTTTAAAATATTTTTTTTGCTAAAATATTTGTTTGAAAAAGTTTTTTCTTGGTCCATTCGTTTGTTATCGTTTTGTGACTCCGACCTTTCTCAATCGGTTCGGTTCGAAGTTAAATCTGGAACTTGCTCCCGAAGCTAAATCCCCAGTAGTTTACCGCTCTAGGCCTTTCATATTTTTTTCCTATTTTTTTCTCTCCGTTGACTAGTGTTGTCGATTCAGAATCGAATCGAAAAATTGATTGTTTTGACCTCCTCGTCATTTTTTATTTTTATTTTCAATTAATCATTTTTCTTTTTTTAATTTAGATTACTATTTATTTATAATGAACAGCGATAATTCTAAAAATATTACTGAAGAACAACAATTTGACTCAATTCCACTTTTAGACAATCAAGGTTTTTTAAATTTATCCTCTCAGTTTTATTATTTTTTAAAGATTTTCTCCCTTCACTCTCTTTGGTGTTTGCTGTTTTGATGGCTTTTCTCTGTGTTGCTGGAACTGTTACAAACACATTGAGCTTGATAATATTTGCAAAGGCTTCATCTAGACGGCGGTCGATTAATGTTTGTTTTGAATTTTTTAAATATTTTTTTGGGATCCGGGATTCTGATTTTGAACCTGGAGAAATTTTTTGGATTAGGAAACTAACGAAGAACTGAAGATTTTTTCTGTTTGGTTCGAGGACCTTAAAATCTTTTGATTTTCCCAAGTCTTTGTGTTTATCGCATCGCGACTCCTTTTAGTCTGTCCTATCCTCTGCCATCCTTGATTATGATTTCAAGTCAAAATCAGTAGTCTAGGGCCAGGATGAACGTCTGTTCTTCCCACTTTTTCACTCCTTCTCCCACCTTTTATTCTAGACCTTCATACTTTTTGATTTTCCTATCCTTTCCCGCAATGTCACTTTCTCCTCCTCCTTCCATTTTTTTATATTTAAATATTTCTTTCAGGTACTTCTTTGTGGTCTTTCTGCATCAGATTTATCTCTTTGCATACTCGCTTTACCAGTATTTTCACTTGCACAACTTCAACATTTAATTCCTGGTAATTTACTTTAAAAAATTTTTTTCAAAATTCTTCTCATTTAAATAGGTTTACCCCCTTCTTTAGCCAACCATTTGCTTGTTTTTTGTTATCCTTTATGTTTAATGGCACAAACTATGTCTGTTTGGGTATGTTTTCTTTTGATTCTTTAAAATTTTTTAAAAATTTCTTTTAAAGATGCTTGTTGGTATAACTATTGATAGATGGCTAGCTGTTTGTTACCCTTTCTCCATACGCATTCATTGTACTGTAAAGAGGGCTAGATTAATTGTTTTGTCAACTTTTTTGTTTTCGCTCTTTTACAATTTGGTTCGCTTTTGGGAATATCGTATTGACTCTAATGGAGAAATTGTTGGGCTTTTACGGTTAGTTAAAAATTTTAATTTTTTTAACTTGCGGAAAACTCCGTACTTGAAGATCGATTTTTGAAGGCTCTCTATTTTAAGGGTCGGGTTTCGATGATAGACCTGTTGACGAAATGTCGCAACTCTTAAGAAAAATAACGCGCCAGAGATTTCAAACTCCTCGGGTCAAGATTCAAGTCAAATAAGTCCTTATTTAGGGTAACCCTTCCGATTCTTGCTTGTTTCCTTAAAATTGGTGATAGAGTTTTATGACCTTCCAATGCGAATTTAATTAGTCGGGTGAGAGATTCTTCTCATAGTCGGAGAAGAATAAAATTCAAAGCCTTCCTCGGGTAGGAGGTTTTGATTGTGAGTCAAACAAATGCCTTATTTGCAAACCCTTCCAATTCCTTGATTCCATAGAGTCAGGAACGAAATTTTCCGTTGGAAGATCCAACGGAAAAAATAATTAGTATACTATCTTATTTTTACAGTGATGACTATTTATTTATGTTACTTTATCAAAATTTGGCAACAACTTTAAGTCAATTTTTACTGCCACTATGTGTGCTCTGCCCTTTGAATTTACAAGTTGCACGTTCTATTTTGGCAGCAAGGGAAAGACGAAAGAATATGTTATGGACAGAACTTTCATCAGTTGAAGCAAGTAGCCGTGAACAAAGTACTGCTGCAATGATGCTTGTTGTTGTTTTAGGTGGGGAGTTTTATTTAAAAAATATTTTTTTAATGAAGTGAGGAGATTGGGGGTGTGAATTTTAATTATTAATTTAATTATTTGGGGGTTGTTTTAAAGGAAAAAAATTTTTTTAATTAATGCTGAAAGGGGAATTAATTATTGGAGGGAGTTTTAGGATTCTTTATTTTTACAAAAATATTTTTCTGTTCAATTTTTATTTTTTAATGTGTGGGGTAGGGCGAGGGGATGAATTTTAATTATAATAATAATTATTGGGACATGAATTTTTTACTTTTAAATTTAATTTTTTTAAATAAATGGGGGAAGGGGAATGAATCATAATTAATTATTGGGAGGGCAGGATGTTATTATTTATTGGGGTTAAAATTTTTTAATGAATGAGTAGGGCGAGGGGATGAATTTTATTGTTTACTGGAGAGAAGGACTTACAAAAAATTTTTTTTTCAGTATTTGTATTTTGCTATTTTCTTTCACTCTGTCTAAATGTTCTTGAAATGTTCATCCCTCGTCTTTTTCGTTCATCTACTGGATTTCTTTTAAACGACATTAACAATATTTTAGTTTTAATTAATTCAGCATCTTCAGCTTTATTTTATGCGAGATTTTCTTCTCGGTAAATAATTAGAAAAATTTTTTTCGCTTATTTTTGTTCTAGTTCCTTGTGTTTGGTTGATGTTGTCTAGTTTCTTGTGTTGTGTCGTTAAATATTTTTTGGGGGAGAATACTTGAATTCCTCCTCGTTATTATTTTATCAGTTTATCAGTTATTAATAGTAGGTAAAGATGTTTCATGTTTTGTGTTTGCTTGATGTTGATGCCTCGGGATTTACAGGCAATTTGATGGAGCCTTTTTTTACGTAAAACCCGATTTCCTCCTATTTTTTCTCGCTTATTTTTGCCATGTCTCTAATCTTGTGTTTGATGTTTTATTTTGTGTTTGGTCATTATTTGAAGTCTTGAAATCCTCTTCTTACTTTTTATTTTTTTGCAGTTACCGTGCTCATCTAATTTCTCTTTTGCGCAATTTTAAATTTCTCGATTGTCTTCTTCCACCACCTAAAGTTTCTTCATTTGGCGGTGCAGAAACACCATCATGTGTATTTTCTGGTATTGGATTAAGACAACAAAACAGCTGTAATATTAATAGACAAAAAATGTCATCAACATTTTTAACTGTTGCTAGTTGTAATAATAATAATGATTATGGTGGTGGAGGTGTTACAAAACAGAAAAGATTAAGGGCTAATTCTGCTAATCCTTGTCCTCTTTGAAAAGGAAATTTTTTGGTACTTTTCCGTTACCCCCTTATCCCCAAAAGAGCTCGCGAGTTGAGTCGAATCACATCAAAATCATGAGAGGCTTGTAACTTTGGGCTGAACTATAGTGTTTTAGATGGTCAAGAATATAGGGCTCGAAATGGTCAAAAACTCAAATATACGGACAGAATCTATGTCATTAAACACTGATATAGGGTGGGGAATGATAAGGAATTCTTTAGAAAAAATACAAGAAAAATTCACAAAAACATGTAGTTATCCTGTAAGGATAACGGAAGAGTACCGAAATTTTTTTTATTAAAAAAATTTTTTTATTCATTTTTTATTAATATGCTTGCAATTTTTATCCATTTTTGGGTATAAAATAAAATATTATTTATATATGGGAATAAAAAATATATATCTACATAAATAATTGTGTTTGATTATAAAAATTTTGTTCCTTTCCGCTGTCCAAAATGTCTTCTCTTCACCAGCCTCACCTGCTATTTACACAAAAAATTAAAAAAAAATTTAAAAATTAGTCCAAGAATAAGGATTTCGACTAATTCCAGCTCTAGCAACAACCAATCGTTTAGCAGCAGCAGAGAATGGTCGAAGGCCTTCTACTGTCCATTCTGAGTTTGGTTCTCCACCAGCCATCCATGAATAAGGGTTTTGGGGTCGTCGAAGGGCTGAACGTTTTTCTAGTGGCTGCAAAAAATTTGGAGATTATTTAGTATTTTTGGTTTTAATTTGATTTCTTTTAGTTTATCATCTAACATTTTTTTGATTTTTGTTTATCTTTTTATCACCTATCATTTTGACCATAATTGGATTTTAAAAATTTTTTTCTAATTTTTTAATCTCTCAACTAAAAACTAACCTGTGGTCCCTCCATCAAAGCCATCCATGAATAAGGGTTTCGAACAGGAATATTAGCCCTTTTATCATCCATCTCCTTTTCTGTTAATCCTGCTGATCCTTCCAATGCTGTAAATGAGTGAACTGAAGAGGTATAGAAGAATATTGTGATTAAAGTAAGGGGAAGTAGAAAACGATTTAAAGCGTTGATTGTGGATGATGATGAAATGAGTTTTGCTGCTGCCATTTTTTTGTGGAGAGTGAGTGATTTTTCGTGATTCTGATAAGAATGGAAAGTTAGTGGTTATGTAAAAATAGGTGGATAAAAAAGATGGAAATTTAGAGAATTTTAAGGGGAGAACAGGAGAATTTTAAGGAAAAACGTGGAGGATTTTTAAGGGAAGTTTATACAATTTAGGGGAGAAATTGGGAATTTTGTGAAAAATTTTGAATAATTTTAAGAGAAAAAGCGAGGATTCTAGTGGAAATTTAGAGAATTTTGGGGAGAAACGAGTAATTTTAAGGAAAAAGTGGAGTATTTTTAAGAGAAAAAGAGCGATTTTTAATTAAAATTTAATAAAATTCTTCAAAAAGTTTTATAAATAAAAGGAAAAGAATTTTTTGGACCAAAAAAATATTTTTGTCAATATGTCTCGCTTGGGAATAATTTATAAATCACGCTCTAGGGTAAAATTTATCAAGCATTATCTGAAAGCTAGACAAGCATTTCTTTTTGTGTGTATTATTAATTTAAAAAAGCTCTGTTTTTTCTGCTGAAAATATTTTTTTGAACAAAAAATTGCAGCTTTTTAAATAATAATTTTTTCGTTTTATTATTAAGCTAATTTTAAATATTTACACCCTTTTTAGGTTATGATGACAAATTTTTTATTTTTTTTTAAAATAAATTTTCTCTCAGGTTAAGCAGAAAAAAAAGCAAAATTAACCCAACCCTTGCCCAACCCTTTTTTTGTTTTTAACTAAGCTAAAAAAGGTTTTTCACTCTGATTAGTAAACTCAAAAAAAATTTTTGGAAACAAAAAAAAACAATGACCACCCTAGAATATTTTTTTAATAAATTTATATTGAGAAAGCAGTGAGTATTTAAGGTAGAAAATGGGCGTGTGGGTAAGGGGAACCACTCCTATATTTTTGTTTCTTTTTCTCTTATTTTTGCTTTATATTTTTTATTTCTCTGACAGATTTTATTAGTAAAATTAATTTTTAATCTTTTTTATTACTCATTTTTATTTTTTTAAATTTGGCACGCTTTTTGGGAGGATAGGAACTAGGGAAGATTTAAAGGAAAAATGAAGAGGGCCAAAAAATAATGGGAAGATATAAGTGTCTTCAAAAATCTCAAAAAATTAATTTTTTATTTTTTCTGGATTGGCAACATTTCAAAAGAGGAGGGGAACGGAAATTGGCAATAAATAAATATTTTTTAGGAAGAAAAAATTTTTTTGAAGTGGGCTTTTTTGTGTAGGGATTTTTCTAAACAATATTGATGACGTAAAATTAAGCGTGGTATATAAAAATAGATTTTTTTGAGTGATTTATTTTTATTTTTAAATGATTTATTTTTAGAAATGAGCATATGTTTTTATGATTTTTGTCTGTATTTTTTTGAAAGGGGTTATTTAATTAAATATTATTTTTTGGAGGGGTTTTTAGCAGGCTTATTTCTGATGTGTTTAATATGTGTTTCTACTTAATTCTGATTTTTTGGGAGGTGGAAGATTATGTGATTCTGATTTTTTTCTTTTTATGTAATTCTGATTTTTTATGAGAAGAATTATTTTTGATTTTTTCTCTATTTTATTGAATTCTGATTTTTTACGAGAAGGGTTTCTAATTCTGATTTTTTTCTGTTTTATTTAATTCTGATTTTCTGGGAGGACTACTTTAATTATTTCTCTGAAGGGTTTTCATTAGGTTCTGATTTCTCATGCTTTGTTTACTTCTGATTTTCGGTGTTTATGCACTTCTGGTTTTTTTAAAAGGATTATTTATTTCTGATTTTTTCTGAGGTTTATTTTATTATTTAAAAACTTAAAAATAAAACTGTAAATGTAAAATCAGAATTGTTTTTAAAGGGACGGAAATAGGCTAATAATAAATAGTAGAAATGGTAATAATAATTTTTTAAAATGTCATTTTAGGGGTTGCAATTTGTAAATATTTTTATTTTTTAAGAAAATTGTGTTAATTTACTATTTTTGGGTAAAGTTAGAAAATTACCCAAAAAATATTTTTTTCTAGAAAAAACTTTAAAATTAGAACGTTAAAATTAAGATAAATGAGGATAAACGTGACTAAAAATATAAAAATATTTTTAAAGAAGAAAACCAAAAAATTTTCTATTTTAACACAATATTTATTTAAGATTTTCCGCTTTGTTTATTCATTTAGAATTGGCTTTAAAGTTAAAATAATAAGAAAAAAAGGAAAAAACTGACGTAAAAAAATTTTTTTCGAATTTTTCGAGGGATTTTTGGAAAGACAAAAGACTTAAAGTGTAAATAAAAAAACTAAATTTTTTTTCTTCCTTATTTTTTTAAGAAAAAAAATTTTTTTAGTGCGTTGGTGGTGGTCCTAGTAGTATAAATAATTAATTATTTTTTTCAATGTTGTTGTGTTTGTAAATATTTGTTGGGAAGAAATTTTTTGGAAGGGGTTTTGTGGGGAGTGAATTTTTTTGGGAGAAATTTTTTTCAAAATATTTTTTTACATTAGTCTAATTATTTTGATACAAAATATTTTTTAGGTAATTTAATTTATTTTTAATTTTTAAAAATTGTTTGGACTTTAAAAAAATTTTATTTAGTTTTCTAAATTTTATTTTTTTAAATTTTAATAGAGGGAAACAAATTTAGCTAAGTAACAATTAATTGGGTAAATAAAAAAAGAGGAAGGGAATTTTTTAAAAATATTTTTAAAAATAAAAATGCAAAAAAAAATTAAAAATTAAAAAATTGAAATTGCGCACATCTATGTGAACAAAAAATTTTTTTAATTATATAATAGAAAAATTTTTTAGAAAAAAAATAATTCAATTGGATAGGTTAAAAAAAGAGTAATTTATGTAATTGGACTAGAAAATTTAATAAAAAGAGATTCAGATTTTTTAAAAATAAAATACATACAAGTACAAGGGAACGTGCCTACATAAGAAATAAATTTTTGGAAGCGTGGATTTACGACATGTTCAGAAATCCGAAAAATTGGGAACGTTCAATGATATAGGTAATAATGAAAGGGGCTAAAAATTTTCCCTATTTTTTAATTCCCTATTTGTTTAATTCCCCTTTTCAAGATTCGGAATTCCCATCCCAAAAACGTTAAGACTTCCCGATTTTCGGGAAGAACAGGGGTTCATTGATAGGTGACAATGAAAAGAGAGAGAGATATGTGCTGCGCACTACAATAATATAAGGAAGGATATGTTAAAGAATAATTAATATAATTAAATTAATTTTTCATCAGGGTTTCTCTAAT